GTTCCTGGGTGCTCTCCTGGAGGATTCTCTACAGACAGCAGGACAGCCAACAGCCTCTCCCTGTCCACTGCTGTCCACCTCAGGGGACAGCTATGCCTGATGGGAGCAACTCAGTCAGGACTCTCCGGACCCTCACCTCTGGTATATCATTCCTTGAGGGGTGGGGTCCCATGGATCCCAAACTCTTTATATACCAGAGGGTGACCTTGAACTCCTGACCTACCTGCCTTCCCCTCCGGGCTGCTTTGTGCAGGGCTGGGGATGGAACCCGGGGCTTCACGCACGCTGAGTGGGCATTCTACCCACAGCCACAGCCTTGCCTGGTGAAGAAGGGACTCTTCTCTGAATGCCAGCTGGAGCTCATTGGTTTTTCTCCTGCCAAGAGCCAGGCTGAATCAACATATCCCTTTCTTTCTTTCTTTCTTTTTTCCAAAATAAATCATTTGAAAACTTGGGTGGTGGTAGTGTTTTGTTTGTTTGTTTGTTTGTTGTTTTTGAGACAGGGTTTCTCTGTGTAGTCCTGGCTATCCTGAAACTCACTATGTAGATCAGGCTGGCCTTGAACTCAGAGATTCACCTGCCTCTGCTGGGATTAAAGGTATGTGCCATAACCACACCATCACCACCACACCACCACCACCACCACCACCACCACCACCACCACCACCACCACATCACACCACCACCTCACACCACCACACCACCATCACCACACCACCACACCACCACCACCATTATCACACCACCACATCACACCACCACCAGCTGGCAACTTTGATGTTTTATACAGAGCAGTCAGTGACTTGAGTCCCATCTCTGTGCGGAATGGCTCATACCTGTCATGCCAGCATTGGGGAGGCTGAGGCAGGAGGATCTTGAGTCTGAGTCCATCCTGAGCTCCGGAGTGAGTTCAAAAGACCAAGATGGAAAGAGGGGGCTCTTTAGGGAAGGGGAGGTAAATAGAGAAGGTCAGAGGACCGTAAAGGGTGGTCGCAGGGTAAAGTGATCTGATGGGGGAAAGGGAGGGGGCTCCTCAGGGAGGGGAAAGGGGGGTAAAATATCAATGTGGGGGGCTGGAGAGGTTAAGAACACTGGCTGTTCTTCCAGAGGTCCTGAGTTCAATTCCCAGCAACCACATGATGGCTCACAACCATCTATAATGAGATCTGGTGCCCTCTTCTGTCATGGAGGCAGGATGTTGTATGCATAATAAATAAATAAATCTCTTTAAAAAAATATCAATGTGGATGGGTGAGAAAGCCACAAGGAATCATACTACTAACTATTTCCCCCCCCCAAAAAAAAAGTCAATATAGTGCGTGTACCTCCATGGAAAAGTATATAGCTTTAATGAACTTTTTTAAAATCTAAGCTGACAGTACTCCCCGATGAACCAAAGACCACCTAACAAAAAATCCAAACCTGGCATAAGGAGTTCTCATTTGAGCTGTTGGTCAGGGCTGTCCAAGAACTCCCAAACATACAGCCTATTGCTGTTGCCCTTGGGTGACCCCACCAGAGGCGCAAGGTAAGTAAGTCCCGATTTCTGAAGACACCACGCACTTCCAAAACAGGATCCAGAGGCCCCTGAGCTCGAACTGACCTGAATGCCCGCTTCCCGAGGACTAGCTTTCTTGGTACCAGAAGGCACCAGGCAAGCTTCCTAAGGAGGGAAGCAGCCACCAGTCCTACCCAGCTATGATGCCCATGAACCACAACAATGACCAGGATGGTGTGATAACCTTAAGGACGCAGTAGTGGCATGCATATCTTGGCGATAACCAAGAGCTTTCTAATTAGACTTCAGACCCAGTCAACAAGAGGAAAACCATGCCTGGTACTGGAAACCTAGTCAACTGCTCAGTACTAGTGACGTCACAGTTATTCGAGGAGAATCTGCAGTCACTAATTTACTAAACCAGCATAATCCAGAACTAATGCTCCATAAACCTTTGTCCTGCACCCACAGGTAAGTGTAGGCTTCGGCCTGCATCAAGGAAACTTCTCTCTCCAACAGATGGAGACCGTTACAGGAAGCCACAGCCAATCAAAACGCAGCATTGTAGAGCCCAGTCCGAATGGATACAGCTACAAAACATTCCCATACCACAGCTCAGAGAACATTGTGGGAGAGGAGGCAAGAAGTTTGTAAGAGCCAGGGGATCAGGGGGTTTGCGGTGAGATTGTGTCTCCTAGGAATGTCACAAGCTGCACCCAGAAAGTCTAACCAACATGACGGCCTAACCATGAGATGAACAAGGAGGACACCAGAGAACGAGCCAAACGGGACAGGGGAAAAGTCCGGGCTGCATAAAGAACTACAGGTGACTGAAAAGGCTGAGAGAAGTGTTCTTCCCCAGGGAAGAGCACACCAACTGATTGTCCAGGGCCAAATGGTCATCCCCAAAAACATACATACAGGTAGTATTATACAGGCTAAACAGGTTATATCTAAAAATATATGTGTGTAGACATATACTTACGGGCATGCAATAAAATTTGTTTAGGGAGCTGGGCGGTGGTGGCGCACGCCTTTAGTTCCAGCACTTGGGAGGCAGAAGCAGGCAAATCTCTGTGAGTTCGAGGCCAGCCTGGTCTGCAGAGTGAGTTCCAGGACAGTCAGGGTTACACAGAGAACCCCGTCTTGAGAAACAAAACAAAAATCATTTAAAAAAAAAAAAAGAAAAAGAAGACTTGAATGTGAAGGGGAGTGGGTAGGAGTATTTGGGAGAGTTTGGAGGGATGAAGGGAGAAACACTGTGATCAAATCATTATCTCAAAACTTTTTTTACAAGTAAAAAAACTAAAATGGGGGATGGCTTAGGGGGGTAAAACACTTGCTGTACAAGTGTGAGGACCTGAATTCAAATCCCCAGCATCCACAGAAAGCCGCAGTAACCCACAGGAGATGGAAGGTGGAGCTAGAAGAAGCTAGCCTGGGGTACACAGAGGCCAACAACAGAGAGACCCACACCAGGTATTGTGGCACAAATGCACACCACACACACACAGAGAGAGAGAGAGAGAGAGAGAGAGAGAGAGAGAGAGAGAGAGAGAGAGAGAGAGAGAGAGAGAGAGAGAGAGAGAGAAATAATAAAATTAAAATAAACTACAAAAAAAGTCAGTTGTCTACTTGGTCAAAAGTGATTCACCTCCCATTCTGAGCCAGGGAATTAATTCAAAATCTTCAGGTTTGTGCGCGATAATGATTTTGAGAAAGTCCCCATCTTGCATGGCCTCACGGCCTGAGTTCTCAGCATCTCTCACTCATGTGGAAACTTCTGGCCGCCGTATTGATCTTGGCGGGCGTATATCATTTGCCTGTAAGTACCCGTGTCTGTTGTAGTTAATATACAATGGATTAATTTAAAATGCATTAGTTTAATAAAAATGCATAAGATAGAATAGAATTGCATTAGCTTCAATAAAAAATTCAATTTCATAAATATTATCTCGTGTTAAAATGCATTGATTTCCAGGAAAATATATGGGTCAGAGGTAATTTACATCGGCTGGGATGGAAACCCGGGTCCTACACACAGGCTGTTTTAGCCAAACGTGTCCGACTGTGTAGAGAATCGGTCAGGGCAGAATAAATTCCAACCCTGTCAGCATCGCCAATGTTGCCGGCCTCTGTTCTCCTTGGTTGAGTATGGATCTCACACAACGCTAAGGAGTGGCATGGTCTATCAGAAGGAAGGCAGGTGGTGAGCCCAGAGAACATTCTGGAAATCCACATGAGGGGCTGGCACCAGTGGCAGCCGCATTCCCTTGCTGGCAGGGGGACCTGGGATGGGGAACACCCAGGGATTGGAACCAGAAGTTCATGATGAGCGGGGACACAGGGTCACAGCTGGGGCTGTGGTTTGAACAGCTTGGAGGTTCAAATCCCAAACCTGGCACTTCCCACGTGACCCTAGCCTAGCTGCTTACCTTCTCTGTACCTCTTTCTGTGACACCCTGGCAGACAGGACGCTAAATGCTCTGTGCACGCCCCAGGCCACAGAGCCATCGGGCGGCAGAGCCGAGATTGGCACTTAGGTTTGGGTTGGAATTTATGCAGCGAAGCTCCTGCCCTCAGCCACCACCCTGTTCCCAGCAACGGCTTAGCGGCTTGGGGCACAAGCCCGGCTCAATATTTAAGGCAGAATGTTTGAATTCTTGCTCTGCCGCCTCCAGTCTTGGAATCATGAGAGAAACGGTTTGCCTCTCTGATTTTTGAGCCCGTGAACTGTGTTCAACGGCAGCATCCTTCTCAAGGCTTTCAGCTCAACCTCGGGGCTGACAGAGAGACGCCCCCCACCCTCCACCCCGCACAGCACAAACCACCCAACAGTGCCCACCTTCAACACAACCGGATGGCTGCAGGACTCCTCGGAGCCTTCAATGCTAACAGGAACCTAGACTCTTCCAGGGGAGATGAACAGGTAGAGGGTCCTCAAGGGCCGGGAAAGGAAGTTAAGGGGGTGACTGCACCTGTGTCCACCTCTCCACAGTTGGCTTTTTACCCCCGGATGAGAATCTAGCTTGGGTCCTTGTACAGCAAGCACCATGGCCACAGAGCCGTCGCCCCCACGCTATGGAGGTATTTTTTTCAAGCACCCACTTCGGAGGGGACCCCCACTTTGTGTCTGCCTCATGTTCCTCAGGACAAGCATTGATTAGGTGCTCAGTGGAGTGGGTAGCACCAGGGGTGCCATGTTGGTCCTTCCTAGTCCATCCAGGCCACAGATTCCTGGTGTCGCTTTGTCCCATTCCTGGCATTCATATTCTGACACCCCCGCCCCCCCCCCCCCCAACTTCTTTTATAATGTGTGTTTGAAATCCCCAGTTACTCTGCCTTTGGAAGGAATATGGAACCAGTGAGGGGGGGGGGGACGGTGCAGGGGGGGGGACATGCAACACACGGGACTGTTCAGAGATGAACACGGAATCAAAAAAAAAACCTTTAATATTTATATATTTATTTTTAGTTTGTGTTCTATTTCTGCAGAGAAAAACTGACGTTTCGTTTATAGTACTGTAAAGCTGCCTTGTCCTATACGTCTATTTACAGTTAAAAAAAACAGGAGTCCATTTAAAGCACAGCACAAAATGGGTGATAATTGTGCGGATAGCTTGAACACATGGCTGTGTGCTAGGAAGACCAGCCCCCTGGGCTTGTCTTGGGGACATAGGATGGAGTGAGATGTGGTCCCACCGAGCACAGAGCTGAGCTGTGGTGAGGAAGGGGCGAGCCTGGGCTCTCCGGGGCCCTAGGGCGTCTTCTGCAGGGTCTGCATGGAGAGTCAGTCCTTCCGGTACTGTAACAAAATGCCTGAAGCTAGAATAAAGGGCTGCTGCCGCCACTGCCACCTCTGTGTGGCCTCAGGCAGGCAAGCGGAACTCTCTGAGCCTGTCCCCCTCAGCAGTAAAATGGGACCAAAAGTTTATCTCCCTACCCCTGTCCGCGGTGAGAGATGGAAGTAAGAGTAGATGTAGGTCAGCCATGTGCCGAAGTGAAGCTCCTTCCTTCCTTCCTTCCTTCCTTCCTTCCTTCCTTCCTTCCTTCCTTCCTTCCTTCCTTCCCTCCCTCCCTCCCTCCCTCTCCCTCCCTCCCTCCTTCCCTCCTCCTTCGGTTCCTCCTTCCATCTTTGTAAATGGTCCTTTCTTTCACCTTTTTATTTATACCTCTTTGAGCCAGGCTCGATCAAGGGTTCTCTGGGCCTCACAGCCTCCCAAGTGCCAGGATCGCAAGACTACCCCACTTGGCGGCTGAATTGCAGGTGACGGGGTGATCATCCTCGCTCAGGGATGCTGTCACCCATCGGCTCCTTCCATAGCTGATTCATGAACACACTGGCAGGAGCGTGGGCATAAGGTTGCCACCGTCGGCCATTCTGGATGTCCACTAGGGGATCCTGGAGAGTGTGTCCTGCAGAGAAGGGACACACTCTATCTATCTATCTATCGATCGATCTGAATTTCCTTCTCCACACACACCCAGCTCTTTGCACTCCAGGCCACCCCAGACTTCATGATCTGGCTTGCTATGGAGTATCATTCAATCCCCTAATTCAAGGGTCACCCCCTCCTGGGGATCCTTCCCTGACTCAGAGGTCCTCTCCTGTAACCACAGTCCATTATGCTAACGATGGCTCTGGAGACCTGTGGATACTTGCTCAAGGAATCAAGAGTAGTGAGTGACCTTGTCCGGCCACCTCACTGGCAACCCCCCACCCCAGGACACTCACTCAGATGACACTTCCTGGAGGGCCCTCTTACCCTCCCCCGGAGTGGACCAGAGAAGGTTCTAGGCCTTGGCTATCTCAAGTGTGACCCGGGTTCTGGTTCCAGCTGCCGGGCAGCCTGCCTGCTCTCCCGGGCAGAGCCGGGCCCACAGCCTGAAATAGAGATTCCAGTGGCCGTGCATTTCGCTGCCCAGACACTCTCACTTCTGCCATCCGCCACCGGAGGCATCCATCGGCTCTGCGGGCTAAAAATACCCCTGACATTTGTGAAGGTCTGCATGGGCCAGTCCCACTCCCTACAGAGGAGTCTCTCTGCAAGAGTCCCAGGCGCACAGCAACTATTGGGTCAGCCCCTGGCTCCCCGACACCGGGCCCACCCGCTCTCTACAAGCCCCATTCCTGAAGGTCTGGGAGTGGTACCCCGAGTCATGCCCCCCAAGTGCCACACAGCATCCCATGGGACTGTGTATCTGTCCCCTGAGGATGGGATTAAGGTTATCACCGGACAGGCCTGATCCAGCAAAACTAGGGGCGTCAGAAGAGTCGGGAGCCCTCCCCTTCCTGGACATGTACACAGAGGCCACGCCCTTCAGTGAGGAGGTGGGATCACTACATACCAGCAGGTCTTGACCTTGAACTTGAAGCTAGCAGAACTGGAAGAAAATACATTTCTACTCCTCCCCACCCAGCCAGAGGCAGGTCACCATGGCAACCCAACACTGGCTGGGTCACAGACCAGGGATGCTGTCCGTATCCCCACACAACCTGGTCCACAGTAGGTACCCAATAAATGCCATAGACTGATGATTCCTGAGTCTTTGGAACAGGGATTCTGGCCCCGTCCTGCCTGGGTGACCTCCTGTGCCTCTATTCTCCTATCTGTGAAATGGAAGCAGTCCCAGGACTCAGATCCTCAGGCTGTTGGGAGTAGACTTTGACCATAGAACGTGCAACTCGTGGGTCAGTCATTATTAGGTAATGACTATCTTTGTTTTTTCGAGACAGGGTTTCTCTGTATAGTTTTGGTGCCTGTCTTGGATCTCACTCTGTATCCCAGGCTGGCCTCGAACTCACAGAGATCCGCCTGGCTCTGCTTCCCGAGTGCTGGGATTAAAGGCGTGCGCCACCACTGCCCGGCTGTATTGTGGCTTTTACTGGACATCTCATAGTGGTGGTGGTGGTGTGGGGGGGTGTTGTTGTGTACGGTATGTGTGTAGTGTTTGTGGTGTGTGGTGTGTGTGTATAGTGTTTGTAGTGTTGTGGTGTGTGTGTGTGTGTGTGTGTGTGTGTGTGTGTGTGTGTGTGTGTGTGTGTGTGCAAGCGCGCGCGCATCATTTAAGTACACACATCAGATCTCCCGTTTTTTGGAAATCCTTGGCCTTGGAAATCCATCCTGGCCTCGGGACTCTGGTCCCCGAAGGCCGCCAAGGGGCAGGGCCACACCTCCCCTGCCCACCCGAGTCCTCCAAGTGGGCTCTCCCCACCAGGACAGGCACCCTCAGGGCAGAGTCCACCACTCAGGCTCAGCTCACCTGCATCTGGGTGAGGGCACCACACTGGAGTAAGAAAATCCACGGACGCCAAACCGAGACCGAGCAGAGCCTGTCCTCTGCGGCCAGGATTGACGACATGTCACAGCCCGCCCGGCCGTGTGCATCAACTGCAACCATGGACAGGCCCGGGCTGGAGGAGAGCTGAGGGCCATCATAAATACAGTATGAAGATGAGGCCGGGAATTAATGGGACTCACGTCCTAATAAATATCATCGGTTAGTGAGGAGTTTCAGGACTGCCGGTGGGAGATATATTTTGGTAAAATATGGCTTTTGTATGGGTGGGGGCTGGGGTGCAGGGTGCATGGGGCATAAATCTGCCCTGAAAAGTATCCTTTGTGAGTCTTCGATTCTCACGAAGCTCTAAAAGCCTAGAGTAGATTCGCGTTTGCCGTTCCTGGGAAGCACCTGGGTTTGTGTTTGCCCATGGAGTTCACATTCTAGAGTGTTCTATGGACTGAGTTCCTGTCACAGATATTGGAGTCTGGAGGGGTGTGTGCGTCCCAGCTGGACCCTGTGCACAAGGAATGGGCGTCTGGCCTGGGATGGGAAGGGCCAGAAGTGGACTGTGAGCTGGCGTTTCACCCAGGGGCATAATGTGGGTGAGGTAGAGAGAGATGCTGTGAACCCAGCATTTTCCTGTTAAGGGCAAATTTGCAGAGATTGGGGGAATTGGGTGCTGTATGGAGTAAATACAAGTCTGCAGCTACAACACAGCTGAGCTCCCCAAACAGGCTTTAATAGTGTCAGCACGATGAATTAAAACACAAGCCCGCTCCAGTGTCTGGGAACACTGGCAAGTGAAAGATTGTGCCTGCAGGGTTTGTTTGTTTGGGTTTTTTGTTTTGTTTTGTTTTCTTTCTTTTTTTTCCCTCGTTGCTGAGACTAATAATATCTCATTTTGCTAACCAGAAAAGAGCATTTAAAAAATCACTATCACGTTCGTACGGGCCCGTTTCTTTCTGTGACTTCCTCTTGCCCTCAAGGTCAAGTTGAAACTCTTGGGGGGGGGGGGACTCCCAGAGCCCAGGAGGCTGCCGTGGCCAGTCCTTTGCCTCGTGACCCTCCACCCCACTCAAGGACTGGAATTCCTAGAGAAAGCCAGGCCTCCTCCTTCTCCGAGCCTTCGAGCTTGCTGTTCCCGCCGCCTGGAAGTACTCTTCCCACTGCTGAGAGCTGATTCAGTTCACGGGCAAACACGTATCTCCAACACTCTAAATGACCATTTTCCTCTTGAACATGAAGAAAAGGCTCAGTGTGCCTTAACTCCTCTCCAACAGTCTTGTTGAGGGTGGCACTTGTGCGTGGCACATCAGATTCCTGGTGGTCTCCTCTGCACTGAGTCGAAGGTATATTTACTCTGCCTGGAACCATCCCTAGCTAATTCCCTATATATTTAAGTTTTAGAGTCAGTCAGGGACTTCCCAAGGGACCCTGGTGACTGTGCCCTCCACTCAGGTCGAGGCCAGTGGTTTCTAAGTCATGCCCTCCAGGCAGTGAGGACCATGCAGCTCTCTCCAGAACAGAGATGTTCCTCACTGTGTCTGCTGCAGCCCAGCACCTGGTGAGTAGAGAGGCCGAGGCTATCATGTCTACCCCGTAGTGGGGTTGGTACCCCCACTAGGGGCAGGTTAGCACGCCCAGTCTCATTGGACAGTTGGCTCTGACATGGTCAACAAATGCACTGTGAAATTCAAAGTGGGCATGAGGTGTCTGAGAAAGCAATCCACTCCCCAAAGGCAGCAGAGTGTTTATGGTAAATATTCATGACACCAAGGCCACCGTTCTCCACGATGGTAGTGGATGTCGGGTCTCACATTCAGGAGTGGTGGTCGTAGTGGTGGAAACCCAGGTAAAACTGCCCTTGTCCTGAAGGATGGGACACAAGACACAGAACCCAAACTGGCCTGGCTAGGGGGACTGTCTATGAAGATCAGCATCCAGAAATTCTCCGGAGTCCCTTGGTCCCTTTCAGCCCCTCATGATGTCATCACAGGCACCTCTCTAGGTGACAGCTTGGGCCCCTCAACTTCATAGTAAAGCACCCCAGGGTTCATGTCCATGAGGCCAATGTCTGGGTCCATCTCCAAGCAAGGGACTTTGCCACCGGCCAGAGGGCAGGAGAGAGATCACTCCCAGAAAGTTCCAGAGAGATCTGTGCCAGGAGGAGTGGATGGCAGGTGGACATGCCGGGTGTTGCTAGGGAAATCCACGGGGCAGGAATGCTTTACCTGGAACCACCAGGGAAGTTCAATCCAGGAAGAATGAGGCCGCAACTTTGCATAATCTTTCTAGTAACATTGTATGTGGAATCTAGAAGTTCCAGGGCCGGGGACAAAGGCCTGGGGCCCTACGTTCCACATAATCAGGGTATTTAGGGATTGGATTTGGGGAAAGGAATGTCCAACTTTGGTAGACATTGCTTTCTTTCTTTTCTTCAGTAGAAGGTAATGGGTCACATGAGCTGCTCCAATCTGTTCTTGGGCCTGTGATACTTTTAATCCCAGCATTCAGGAAGCAGAGGCAGACAGATCTTTGTGAGTTCTCTGTGAGTTCAAGTCCAGCCTGATCAACAGAGCGAGATCCAGGACAGGCACCAAAACTACACAGAGAAACCTTGTCTGGAAAAACTAAACCAAAAAAAAGAAAGAAAAGGAAAAAGAAAAAGAAAAGAAACAACTCCCCAATAGAACTTTCTGGAATGGTCAGAAGCCCCCAGCCACAGCCCTGCTACTGAGGCTTGGGAATGTGGCTAATGATACACAAAAGACAATGTATTTTCATCTCAATCATTTACATTGAAATGGCCACAGTGGGGGCTGGACAGATGTCTTAGCGGACAGGAGCACTTTCTTGGCCTGTGTGAAGACCTGAGTTCAAATGCCAAGTGACAAGCCAAGGCACCTGTCACCCCCGTGCTGTGGGAGACACAGGCGTGAGGATGACTGGCTAGCCACCAGCCTGGCTCTGGGTTCAAGGAGAGACCCTGTCTCAGGGGGATAAAGCAGAGAACGATAGAGTTCTACCTCCTCTGGCCACCAGTGGGGCACCCACGTTGTCCCGGCTGGTTTTATGTCAACTTGACACAAGCTAGAGTCATCTGAGAGGAGGGAGCCTCAACTGAGAAAATG